GACCTGGAGGCAGGATGACTCTGTTTCAGGAGTCATTACCTGGTTCACCATTTAGTCGCCTCGTACGACACGCTAGCACCACGTCAGTCCTATTATGGTAGCTAATGACAGTAAGCAAAGGTGGGTCATTGTACGTCAACCTCTGAGCCAGAAATGACACCTTCAGGCATTCAGGTAGGTAACTTTGAGAAGAAGCAGAAAAAGCAGACCATACCACAACATCTTCTCTGCCATCTTGTCTTCTCTAATATAGTGCCTTATTACCAGAGCACCTTCATACGACCTGCATCAAAAGTAAAATGTTAAATGCTTACATGCTTGATTCACAAAAAGCAAAATCAACATGCTGACATGTTTCTCATCAAGGAACCAATCAAAACCAAAAACTGCTTCGCGCTGCATTTTCAGCCTGCATGATGCTTTCCAGCTTCCATTTTTCTTCATTTATGTAATTTTTTTTCAGACGATATGATAACTTTATCATATATTATTTCACGAATTGGAGAGGGTTGTTGACCCATTTTATAGCATACCAATCTAAATGAAATCATCTTTTGCAGTTTGCAACTCATTTTTGCTGTTAGGCTGACAGCAAATGATGTCTTTTGATGATGATGACACAAGTGATCAGAGTCTGTACATTCTCAAAGGCACATATTTATCCTGCTGCCTCTCCAACCACCATGATTTAAAATGATTCACATGGACCATGTTTTTACCTCAATATACTTTTTCAGCTCCGTGATATTGATGACCATTCCAGTTGCGGGGTCTATCTGTAGAATGGAATAGAAAAATAAAGCACTTATTATATATGTGTCAACTTTGCTACACAACATAAGGGACATAAGAGCCATCAACAAAGTAAGAAGAGATGTTTTTCTCAGTAGCAATACTTTAAAAAATCCACCATAAACAATTTTCGTGTACTCTCTCTGAGAATCTCTCAAGGTTTTTCAGCAATAAATGATAATCTGTTCTTGCTGTTACACCTATTTCATGTAAATAGATGTTGGATCTAAATTCATGCTTCATGCAGTGCAGTACAAGTCTAATTAAGATGCTTGCACGAATATGCCACAATACATGAAGGATTATCTTATTTTATACTTAATAGTGAGGAAGAAAGACCAAGATCTTGCCATGCTGTGTACAACAGACCTCTAGAACACCACACCCTCCTCAACTTTCAGCATCTTTGGGAGAAGAAAACTATTATTAACATGGTGGTGAGGCTACTGTACCTGTAACCTTTTACAATAACTGTGTGTGTAAGTGTGACGATGCTGAAGCCAAGAAAAAAGCTCACAAGCTGTGCACATCTACAAGTGGAAGTGAACTTTTAGATGCTCAAAATGGGGCAAACTCTTCTCAGCCAGAAGTGGCCTCATTGGTCATATCAGAAGCCACTAGCCATGTTAAGTCTTATTTCTTTTATATCGATTACAAAACGCCATCCTCTGCAAATGCATTGGTCACCATCAGAAAATGATGGGAAAACGGTCATTGTTATTTTTAAGAGCAGCATGCCATTCAACAATGTAATGTAAGTCTAAGGTTATTGTAGATGTGGACTCTACAATTGCAATATTCATCTTTGATGTGACCACGCCATGCGGTGGGGTACCTTGAAAACTTCCTACACAACCAAAGTGCAGGGACTTCCCACTGGAGATTTGAACAAGGGTTATCAACATCATAGTTCAGGATGAGACGAGCTGAGCTAAATGCACCCAGTAAGCCTTTATTAGAATCGTTTGAAAAACATTTTTAAAAAGGGGGCATTGTGAGATTTTTACAAAATCCATTGATTTGCAAGAAATGTTGGTCTGGTGATCAGCCATATTCGGAATATTCGCCAAAAAATGTTCATTTTTTGGGACCACAAATATAACAAATGACGCGATAAAGGAACGAAAATATTACAATTACTCACCGGTCCCTTTAGTGTAACTTCAACTGTAAAAGAGTCAAAGTTAGATGATTGAGATTACAAGGAGATAGTTATGCTTGGGTTCAGATTATGCATAGTAGTATAGAGAAAGAATACACTGTATGGAGGAATAAATAGTGATAATCACAAAAGCAATAAACACGTGCAATTTTCCAGACAACATTCTACCAGTGATTAGCTCGAATCTATAGGGTACAAAAAGGAGACGAAGCAAATGAAATGCAATTAAAGAGATGTTACAAGCAAGGCAACTTCGTGTTTTTTTGTATTGGAACATGTTGTTTTACCATGCTCGCAACTGCATATAACGTCATAAGAGCGCATGGGACGCATTAAACATTTTCAACTTGGTAGGATTTAATTTTGAATTTTGCCCGGGTGAAGGCCGAAGCCCACTTTTATCGATTTTAGGACCACCAAGTGATCTTTAAATTGCGCAACTAGCACACAGGACCTCCGAGATTTTTTCGCCCTTATCTGAGAAAGCTAGGTGTTCCATCTTACCTACCCTAAGATCAGGGATGGGGCTGAAAGACCAAAAGAAGCAGCCATAAGTAGTGGTAAAAAAAGTCAGGAGCCCAGAGAGGGGGCTGAAGGGAGTGGAGATGAAAGTAGACAACAGAACATGATTGGAGAGTGAGAAAGAACAGAAGACAGTTATGAACCCAGGATCTATGACAGAGAAGCGAACACCGTACCTCTAGACCCACGACAGCCCCCAAACTAAGTGTGCATGTAATAATACAGGCATGTGTGTGTGTGTGTGTGTGTGTGTGTGTGTGTGTGTGTGTGTGTGTGTGTGTGTGTGTGTGTGAGAGAGAGAGAGAGAGAGAGAGGAGGGAGGGATGGAGGGAGGGAGAGGGAGAGAGAGAGGGGGAAGGAAGGAGGGAGAGAGGGAGAGAGAGAGAGAGGGGGGGGGGGAGGGAGGGAGGATGGAGGGAGGATGGAGGGAGGGAGAGGGAGAGAGAGACGGGGGGAGGGAGGGAGGGAGGGAGACAGAGAGAGAGAGAGAAAGGGAGAGAGAGAGAGAGAGAGAGAGAGAGAGAGAGAGGAGAGAGAGAGAGAGAGAAAGAGAGAGAGAGAGAGGGGGGGATAACAGTTGTAGCATGCAGTTCCTAACGATTATTGATATACAAAAAAAAATCTCAAATATTTAAACTGTATGAGGCTGCCTTGTAATGTGCTTTGAAAGCGATACACCCCCGCACATTATTCAATCCAAACAACTAAGCAACATTTTTTACCAAAATGCAAAGTAAATTTTACTTAGACACTTGGTGTCATCCATTAGAATGAAAAATGTAGAGGGCATAATATAACATTCTTATCCAAAAAATATGGCAACACATCTGTTGAGTGTATTTTATTTTCATGTAGTGTGAAAAGTCAGCAACCCATGCAGTGTTAAAATTTGACGAAAGGCCTACATGATGAGTGTTATTCGAATTGAAATGTCAGAAGGAAAATTGTAAAAATGCAATGGGCAATGCAGGACTAATCTGGCGTAGTAATAAATAATTTTAGAGCAGCCATGATTTCTAATACGGGGTGCCCACTACGGTTGGGATCGGCTGATCGCCCGACTCAGCCGCCTCAAAGACAAACGAGTTCGTTTTCAGTCTCAGGCGACCGAGTCGGGTAATCGGCCCGATCCAGCCGTAGTGGGCACCCCGTATAAGACCAGATGAGCGTTGGGACAACGCTAGATTGCATCACTTGAGTGAGTATTGAATCTTTTTTTCCCCAAGACTGTACAGCTGTATCATCAGCCTGACAGCAACACCCTTGGGAAGCAAGACTCTGCTGCTGTTAGGCGGACGTTGCTGTCACTGTTAACTGAATTATTCTCAAAGCGGGGGGTAAACTGCCTGAAAGAAATGTTACCCTCCCCTCTCTCGTCTTTCTTTCTACTCTCTCTCTCTCCCCCCCCTCTCTCTCCCTCTCCTCTCTTTCTCTCCCATATGTGTGCACACACACACACACACACACACACAAACAAGCATGAGTCATAATCGCAGTATGTGATAATGCAGTGATGTTGGAGGGTGAGAGCATTGGCAGTATCAGTGCTGAGGTTTGACCGGAGTCAAAGGTCTCAGTGAAGTGAGCCAAAGCTTGATAACAGGGACGTATAACCCTCTGTATAACCCATAAATAATCATAGTGGCTGAGATTCCACCTTCCCCTCCCCTCCACCCAGCTGGGAGACTCTTGAAGGAAGGTGACTCTTGGCGACAGGGTGTGAAAAGGGCTCAGCTGTACTTGGCAAAGAGTACTTTTGGCCCAAGCAGGAGATGACAAGAGTGGAAAGATGCACACACACTGAAATTATAGGCCAGTCTCAGCGTTTACAATGTTTCCAAATTGTCAAAAAAAATGTTGTCAGACGAGTAATTTATAACAACGACTGTCACTGTTAGAGAAAAAGGTTGCTTTTTAAAAGGGGTTATTTGTAAAACATACTACTGCCAGGTGGATGTGGCTTTTATTTGGGATGCTGTTAAGTGGACACCACTTCACTTTGAGAATAATTAATGAAATGAAAGCTGTTGCAAACCAGTAAAACTGCACGGCAATTTTCTAGATATAAATCAAACACATTTACAATTTCACATCATACATAAAATCAATAATGAAAACCATGAATAGAAACTCAAGCGAGACTGGATTTAGTGAGCGCAACTTAAGACCAAATAGGACAGGCAGATTTGCCTTTTGTCAGAGAGATAATCTTGTAATACTTTCATAATCTATTTGGGTTCCACTCTACATGCAATGACATACACATAGACTGTTCATCAATTATCTACCAGACTGGAAAGAATATATATATATATATATATATATTCATTTTTCTTTACATTTGAACATCTGTCACATGTAATGCATTGGTGGAATGAATTCATTTACATGTAGTGTAACCAGCTGCTGTGAAATTTATCAAGAATTGATCAAACGTTCACTGAAAACACCAAACAAAGAATGCATACAAATAAGAAATTATATTTACAGAGTGTTTTAGTTTGTCTTGCATTATATTCCACTGCATTGTCTACTGCACAACTGTGTTGCGTGACACTGTCTATTGTACAACTGTATTGTGTAGAATTGTCTACTGTACAACTGTGTTGTGTGGCATAGTTTACTGTACATGTACAACTGTGTTGTATTGCATTGTCTACTGTACAACTGTGTTGTATTGGATTGTCTACTGTACAACCGTGTTGTATTGGATTGTCTACTGTACAACTGTATTGTGTGGCATTGTCTACTGTACAACTGTGTTGTATTGGATTGTCTACTGTACAACTGTATTGTGTGGCATTGTCTACTGTACAACTGTGCTGTATTGCATTGTCTACTGTACAACTGTATTGTGTGGCATTGTCTACCGTACAGAGAGCCCGATATGTCTAAATCTGTTATAACAAATGAGTAAAGTCAAAAAGTTGTGAAAAGTACTCAAAAGGTAACCACCTCTCCCCCCCCCCCCCCCCCCCCCGAAATTAATCTGGGCAAATAAAGAAAAAAAAACCTAGACGTTGTTTGGTAATTTGTAAACAATTGTATGTGGGAACACTCTACAAGAGTAAAGTTGAATTTAAGGAGTTCGGCCGATCTCACATAAGAATAGATTGCCTATATAAGCTTATAAACATGTTAATTGAGAACTACAATACAACAACGAAGTGGTATTACGTACAAAACTTCCTGTTTCCCAAAAGAGAAAAATAATGAGACTATTTTAGCATCAAGCTCCACAGAACCATTTTATACTAAAAGCATCACTAAAACTAAAAAAGAAAAAAAATCAGGCTAATAGTCTATGCCAGCGAAAGAAATAAAAAGCATTATCATTAGTGGAATCTACAAATCTACATAATTTAAAAAGGCAAATAAGAAAACTTTATTGTTCGAAATACTGTACCTTTGTAATTATGACCATGCCCATTAGGACTGTTACATTTGCCAAACAGGGCCTTGTTCTCTTCATCTGACAGGTATGGGCTGAAAATGGACATAATAAAAGCTCTGAATAAATTTTATAAATTATCTTTCCACTTCATCGATGTAAAAATTTGTAAAGGAGATTAAGTTTACATAGTTTACATAATGAGCTAGTTGTAACAACTTCACTGCACTGATGGGGTGTCAATGGTCTTATGGTAAGGCTCTTGGACTCCCCACCCTAAGGCCATGCATCTGAATCCCATCAAGGGCCTGATGGTGTGTCCTTGGGAAAGCCACTTTACACAAATTTCCCTAACTTCACCCAAGTGGGAATGGGGTGTACCCAGTCAGCGAAAGATCTTGTCAATTTGTCAGTGTTTTAGCACATCTAATCTGTAGCTTGCACTGCAAGCTTCCATGTTTTTGAGTCATGTTCTATGGTCTGCTGGGGAAATAATAGCTGTAAAATACATATATATATATAGTATGATATAGAGCATGCTGTAGAGCATAGACATGCTTTATTTGAAATCAACAAATAATTATGATGATGTTGAGGCAGTCACTATGAGTCACTTCATTTTGATCACTATACAAAACATACTGGATTATCCCACTGGATACATGTATATTCATTGTTATTCAAACTCTTAGTCACCTACAAAGGTCACATTAAAATTTTTTAAAATAACATTCTGTAAATTTAATAAAAACTTGGAGAAAGTAAAGAAAACCCAAAGACTTATTGTATATATGTAATATGTAGGACCTAATTTGTGTCGAGGAGTCAATTCCGTGACAGGGAGCCAATTTTCACTTTATATATATATACAAGAAGAGGCTGAATGACATTCACTGTGTGGCACCATTGCTAGTTTCATGCCACTTTGAGGAAAATACTTCCTTGCCAATTTCATGTCTGGTGTTATTAGGCAGTACCAAACAACAATTAAATAACATACAATGAAAAGGAGGACTTTGTTTGAGTAGGTGTTCTACGGCACTATCAGAACAGACTTGGTCATGTAAGCGCCAAAAAGAGATACACTAAGACATAAGGAAAATAAATGTTATATAGGCAAGGAGGAGCAAACCATACTAGAGCACCCTCCAGCCACCCACAGAAGAACAAGAAGACTTTAATGGAATTGTGGTCCAATAAACTCAGAAAAGTGTTGTAGAACTTCCATGATCCTGCAAGAATGGTGCAAAAAGAGAAACAAGATCCTGAACGTGACTTCAACCACAAAGCACACCGATGAGATGCATCTATAATTATCATGCAAAGATTTATTGCATAAATAAGTATTTAGCAACAACCACCTCTCAAACAGATTGCAACTTCTTTTTCCACATTAGTTGTATATTACATATTACGCTTTTGAAGTTGGAGAAACGGCGGATTATCGTCCTAACCCCTTATCTCTCTCTCTCTTTCGTCCCCTCAACCCCCCCCCCTTTTTATTTTCTTTCTCTCAGTGGGAACAGCAGCTATTCTGCACGGCCAATGGAGGAAGGGCACACTTTAGATTTTGTGTATATCAGCAGATCCTGTTAGATGAGGAGCTTTCAGGTTTCAACATGACATTGATTACACAGTTGTGTCAGATAACATAACCGTTGCGCAAAAACTGCCCACCATAATGGTTGAAAAGTCCAGAACAGACTACCGTGTGAGAATCACATCTGGGGCTGATTTTCTTTGTTAAAATTAAAGTTTCTCTATTGTCTTCTATCCTCAAACATTTAAGCATGTACTTCACTTCAAATTCTCTGTCATATATCTTATTGACATTTTGGTTTTGTTGAATTGGAGTGAATCTCTTTCTGCAAATTTTAATTTCTTCTTTCCAATTCAAAACATTCCACTTTACAAATTATAACTTATGTCTAGTTTGTTAATGTGTTTTAATTAAATAGAGCAGAGGGTGTGATAGAGTAAATTTTGTTGCAAATATGAAAACGAAGCATCACTTCGCTTTGTCGAGAGGAAAGGGGTAAAAGATTTGGTGCGAAACTGAATGGTGCAAGCAATTTTGCAACGCAATTGGCTAGTTGACATGCAATTGGGTCCTACCATGCATGCAATTGGCTCCTCTATAGATCTACGAAATTAGGTTCTTTAAAATTATTTACATTATTTTCTTATAATTTGTTAAACCAACATACAGCTCCAGTTCCCTAAAAAGGCAGACAGACAAAGGGAAGTGACGGGGTTGAGTATGAAGCAGTACCTGGGAGACAGAGATTCAAAAGTTCACTCTTTTAGACATTGCAACAGCGAGGTAAAGTAAAATACATTTTCTCATAGACTACAAATATTATACTGTTCAATGTCTGGGTATTTTATTATTTCTTAAACTGGAATCTATTAAAAAAACAATGAACTAGTCGTCAAACAGTTTCAGAATGTATAGCCTAAACTTTACGTTGACAAAGATATATATATATATATATAATTACTAGCCTAGCTGGGCCCCCTTTCGATGAAAGGAATGATCGGTGCATTAACATCGAGTGAAAGTCATTAGTCTACAATATTTACACTCTACTGGAATGGAGCAATACATTTTGAGAGATCATGCAAAAAATTAGAAAATTCTTTTTTAATAGCTAAGACCTGTTGACGTTATTCCCAGTAGCAAGAAAAAGAATTTGACAAAGGAGTCAAGAAAAAGCGATGATGGGCATCAAACGAAAGGATCACAGTTGAATTTAGCACCAAGTAAAAAAAGAAAACAGGAAGCAAGATCTATACGGGTCGCACACTTAAAATACTGTTCAGTATTGCGTGACAATGCGAGATAGTATCGAACGAAAGTACCACTTGAAATACAAACCTGGCGGATTTTCTAAAATTACAGAGACAGAAGCGTCGGCCAACAAAAGCCATTGGTGAAATAAAAAAATTTAGTTTTTTTGCAGCAAAACTGTCTCAAAACTGAAAAAACAAAGGGCGTCAATTTCTGGAGAGTATTTAAAAGAATCTTTTGGCGAAAAGCGCGCACGTCGATCGATGCAGCCATTAAAAAGCTTTTTGACCCCTTTTGAATAGCAAAATTCGGCCACCACAAATAGATAATAGATCTAGATATATTTTAAAATTATTTGTTCTTAAATAAAGGGGTGCCATAAAATACTTCAGAGTTGAGATGAAAACAGGTTACAAAACAAAAAGACCCACAAACATATATATAAGAAAATTCAAATGAATGTGACATATCATGACCCATTGTTACAGTTTACAGTAATTTCTATGACATGCCATTACAATACATACATGCCTCACAGCATGCTGCAGATGATGATAGTGACTTAGATAGTGATAATATTAACATAATCATTAGACTACCCAAGAAAGATCTCTAAGACGGTTAAGTCCAGACTGCCAGACTACTAATAAGGAAGAGGCTAGCCGTACTTAATGACGGCTAGACTGGCAGTCTAGCCGTACTTATTCTCTTAATATGATGGCTAGACTCACCATTTACAAAAAATAGGCCTACTGAATTGTAAATTTTAAATATACATTTTTAGTGTGCAGTACCTAAAGTATTTGTATTTGAGACGAAACCAGGTGCCTTAATGACAGTGCATGTATTTTAAACCTCCTGTTTTCTAATGTTAATAGGGCCTAAGACTTCTTGTCTTGCCGTACTTAAGTACGGGTAGACAGCCAGGCTAGCCGTACTTAAGGACGGCTAGACTGTCAGTCTAGCCGTACTTAATATTTTATGGCTGAATTGTAAATGAAATTTTTAGTTTGCAATGCCTAAATCTAAAGTATTAGTTTGCAATGCCTAAAGTTTTAGTTTGCAATGCCTAAAGTATTTGTATTTCAGACAAAACCAAAAGGTGCCTTACTGACTTGCATGTATTTGAACCTGAATAATTACTAGATCTAGATCTGAGACCTGTGTACTTAACAGGCTTGAGTCGATAGGGCCAAACCTAGATCTAAGTACGGCTAGACTGGCAGTCTAGCCGTACTTAAGTACGGCTAGCCACTTCGTACTAATAATTGATGGCACAAAAACAAAATTACTGATACTCCCTGGGAGAGTTTACAAACATCATCTGGACAGCTGAACTGACAAGTATAAACGTGGAAAGTCACCTGTGCAGTCTATGACAGGCGCTGAAAGACTCGATACGTTGTATGAACACGACTGGGCTTTCCTGCTGTTCCCCGTTCATCTTGCGTCCTTTGCTGTGCAAACAGAACAACGTCCTCACCAGACCTTTCTTGTTCCACCAATTACAGAAAAACTGGAGCAGATTCTAAGTGATTCGAGCTTTTAAATAAGTTACTACTTCTACTAGATCTACTTCTTATCTTATATATTTCTAGATCTAAAAGCAACGTTCAAATTTGATTTACAACACACGCCTGCGAAAAGAACAAAAAGACTGAGAAGAGAGAGAGAGAGAGAGACGGTCAACAGGCTGGCTCATTGTTGATCCTATTTTTTTACTCTAGAAGAACATTAGATGCGTAAACGGAAAGAAAAAAGAGATTAGCCTAGTCTCGGCATAAGTTTCTTGCTTAGATTTTTAAACCAAGACCTTGACATAAGCAAGGTCGAAGAGACGAAAACGATGATACTTGATACTTTAACCTTATTTAAATACGACGCGTTAGCTTGATAGGCTAGGCCAGAGACCGGGCAAGGCTACAACTACAAATAGAGGCTAATAATGTTTTGGTTTCTTGTTTCCAGGCCCAGTTACTTCCCCTGGACGATTAATCAGAGACACTAAAAATAGAGTCTCTGGATTAATCTAGATTTTCAACTGCTGAACTTGCAAGTCATGCAACTACATTTCTTAGACGGTCACAGGTCATTTTATAAACACACAACACAGACTACAGAGGATTGACACCGGTGCGCCCTGGCCCCTTACCTCTATCCTTATCATCCTATCCTGGGTTAAGACTTGATCAGACTTCGTCCAAGTCTAAGTCAAGAGGCCGAATCTGAATTAAGAAAGCTTAGATTGATTAGATAGACTGCAG